TGATTGTAACCTTTTGCCACTAGGTGGGCTTTATATCGTTCTAGACTACTATCTAAATTTGTTTTAATTTAACATACTCATCAGACAACCTACGACAGTTTTTTCCTTTTGGGAGAGGTGTTAGGTCCCAAGCATGCATAAACTCGAAAGCATTCAACTCGTAAGCCATTGGTTGTTGCCACTCAGGTTGACTTGCAGGTTATTTGTAAGTTTGAGGTTCAAATAAAAAAAAACAGACGCAAGGAATGCTTGGTGACGAGGTAAAAATGTTTCATAGTCAACAAGTCGGGGAGGTGAAACCTATACCCGGGTGCTTCGTTTAAGAGCAGGGAGCTGTATAGAATCAGCAGGTACAATATTTTAATTATGACTGTCAGCATGCAGTGAAGTTTTGTCCTGAACTTCAAAAGGAGGGACACATGCGGAATGACCAGATGAATTAGGAACATAATCATAAAAGTGGACTAAGAAAGAAAGGTGAGAGGATGAAGGATTTTTTGTATTATCAAATAATGGAATGTGCTCAAAAAACACCACATGTGGGGATACATAAAGTCTTTTGGTCAAATGGTCATAACACCTGTATTATTTTTTATGATCAGGGAAACCGATAAAGCAATATTTGATCGCTTTTGAAGATAACTTATCTCTCTCAGTTGAGGGTAACAACACAAAGCAAGTGCAACAAAAAACACGTAGGAGGGAATAATCAGGTGATTATATAAACAATTTTTTGAAATGTGTTTCACCATATAAAATGGAGGATGGTATGATGTTGATGAAAAAGACTGATGTACGAGCAGCTTCTGCCCAAAAGTCATTTGGGACAGATGTAGAAAAAATAACGAATCTTGTAGTTTCTAAGATACGGCGATTTTTTCGTTCAACAACAACATTTTGCTATGGTGTATAAGGACATGTTTTGTGGTGGTGAATGTTGTGATTAGCTAAAAATTGTTGAAGCAACCCATTGATGTATTTTCCTCCAAAATCAGATTGTAAGGCTTTGATTTCAGTGGAAAATTGGGTTTCTACATATGAATAAAACTGAGTGAATATTTAAAAAAATAAAATACAATTATGCATAAAAAAACCCATGCATAACGAGTATGATCATCAATAAATGTTACAAAATAGCGTGACCCTCCTTTAGATGGAATAGGTGCAAGACCCACACTTCAATATGAATGAGAACGAACATAAAAGGTGAAACATAAGTACTTTGAGAAAAAGATAAAGCATGAGATTTAGCGAATTTGTAAGTTGCATAACATTTGGCATCAGTAAAAAATTTTACTTCTAACAATACCAAGCACATTGCGGGAATATAAAGACTGTAAACGATAAGCAGATATGCGATCATGTGTCGTCAACAGTAGAACCAACAGATACAGAAGAGGTTGGCATATGCAAATAGTCCAAGTAGTACAAATTTCCAACTTTACACCCAGTCTCAATCACTTGCCCTGACTGTCGAACCTGTATGTAGTAAGAAGATGAAGCAAAAACAACATTACAATTTGAATGAGTAATCTGTCAGACAGACAATAGATTCATGGCAAGGGAATGAACACGGTAAACAAACATTATAAACCCTTAATTTACCATAAGGGTCAGAGGTAAGAGATATGAAGCTCATTTGTGACATTTTCACAGGGGCTCCACCAGCAATATAGATAGTATCTGAAAATGCTTACAATCAACTAGAATTGACTCGTTTGATGTCATATGGTGAGAAACTTATGAGTCGACCAGTCAACAGTAGAAATAGAGTTACCTGGAAAAGAGGGAGTGGGTTCAAAGGCCAGGTGTGCCTAAAAACGCATTGACTGCACTTATACCAGTATATAAAGTTTCAGGTGGTGAAGCAGGAATAGGATTGGGATCTCCAATTTGAGTTGGTGGGTATTTGACTTGTATCAACAACAACAACAAAGATTTGTTTTTCTTGTTTGAGCAGGTATACTTGATGTATCCCAGTTTATTACAATAGTTACATCTAGTAGATGCCACGTTCTTGGGAGGGGCATAGTACAAATTGCGTTGATTATGTTTAAGCACATTTGATATATGAGGTCAGGATACCGTAAAACCCGTTTCTCGTTTAGAACTTGAATTAAGAGATTTGACATTGGTTTATTTTACAATTAGCTCGTAAAGAGTTTGATTCAGAGTGGGGAGAGAGCTTTTGTGGACCAGACTATTTCTAACACTCTCAAACTCTTGACGGAGTGCCATTAAGAATTCAATAACTTGAAATTTCTCTCGAGATTTTGCAATTATTTATGCACTATGACCATCTTCGAGTGCAGGTTCCATACGTAGCAGAGCATCCAAATGTGTTTTCATGAAAAAGTAAAAATCTTGAATTGACTACTCTCCTTGAGGGAGCAAAATTCCTATACTAACTGGTACTTTCGTGCCCAATTAGTCTGATTATAAAATTCTTCAAGAAATTTCCTTACTTCTCGAGCAGTTTTTAAAGTGCTTAGATTTATCCCAATATTACTTTTAGATGAGTTCATCAACTATGTTACAATTTGAGCATTATTTATGCTCTATTATTCTATTTTTCCTGGCTCAATAGGTTTCTTCTGGGTCTCATCTATGTATTCGAGGAGGCTTTTTCCATGAATGACATTTTGCATAAATGAGGCCCAAAAGGTGTAGTTTGTGCCATTGAATTTAATGAGTACAAGCTGAAAAAACTTTGATTTTTCCATTGGAAGGGTAATAAGTGAAAGAGAGAGAGTATTATTGAGGTTTTGCAATTTTTGTTAACAAAACCCAATACACGAGACGGAGAGAGAAAGAGATTTATGTGATGAGAGATCATGGTGGTGATTTCAGTTACAGAGAGAAGAAGACAAGAAAATGTGGGATCTTAGATAACATAAAAAGGACACTGATCATATAAGTCAATTGCTTAGAGAGAGACAAATTGCAGAGAAAGGGAAAGAGATCCTTACTCAGCCATAAATATAGAGATTATTAGACATAGATGAGAGAGAGAGAAAAAAAGAGAGAGAAAGATAAATAGATTTCTTAGTAGATAGAGACTTTGCTCTTATTAGAAAGAGAGTGGTTTGAGGGATATGAAAATCCGAAAGATCTGAGGGATGAGGGAGAGAAAAGTAGAGACGAGGGAGATGAAAAAATAGAGATCGAGAGATGAGGGAGAGATCAGTAGAGAGAGAGGAGATTTGAGAGAGAATAGCAGCTACAACAGAGATCAGAGATATGAGAGATAATAACATGAGAGAGATAGATAGAAACATGATAGAAGTACCGTAACAGATCAGAGAGAGAGAGCAGAAACCGAGAGAAGCATCGTAATACAGATCAGATAAGCGAGAAGACCCAAACAAGATTGCATAAAATACAAGCATTGACTAGAGAAGGCCCAAACAATATTGCAGGCTTTGACAATATGCGAGATAAATTTTTTCTCTGTATTTAATAATAATCATAGGATTACAATACAATTGTGTATTTATAAAGAGTGTACAACCAATCCTTACTAAAACTGTAGGATACAATTTATGTATAGAGACAACATACAATTAGACATTGACAGATCTCAATATCAAGTTGCCATATCTGTTGTAGTTGCCATATCATTCACATATTTGTTGTGACTGTAGATTAAGTCGTTAACTCCTCTTCCACTGTCACTATTGGCTTCTCTATTCAACATAATCCTTTAACATTTGATTCCTTTTGTCTCTCTCTCTCTATTCTCACACCCCGCATAACTTTCTTGTAGTGAAAATCTCTTATCTCTTGCATTTGAAATGCAAGCTATGAGATGCCAAACAACAGCACCTCAACTCTCTCTCTCTTTATTAATTTACTATTCCTTTCTCTATCTTTCATACATTTTTTCCCTCACTCTCCCCAACTTATGCATACAAATACATTAATTGTTCCCCTCTCTCTTCTCCCCATATATATACAAATATATTAATTATCCATCTGTCTCTCTCTTCCCTATATTTATCCACTCATTCTCTCTCTCCCCCAGTATATTTGCAATACATATGCAAATAGATAAGGGCATCACGTGGTGTGACTGTAAAAGGCTTGGGTAGCCAGCATAAAAGCACGAGTTTGAGTCTTGAAAGCGTCCACTTTGTACATAAAAAGCCAAAAGTTAAGACCGTATCCAACTCACCGCTCCCGGGACCCTACTTAGGTAGAATCAACAGCAGGTTATGGTCCTCATATGCTCTATTTGTATAAGGAGCCCAATTTACGACTCTAACCAGTCACGGCTTGCCCAAAAGCCCAATTTACGACTCTTAGATGCGCATGCTAAGACCGTGCAGCAGGGGTGGCAATTGAGTCGGTCGACTTATTGGGACCCGAACTAATTTAGGGACCAGGACTGCGTCCATGTTTTGGACTTGGCAAGTCGGCTCCAGGGTTGAGTCTGGACACTTTATGGGGAAAGTTTATATAAAGCATATGCTCTAAACAATCAAATTAGAGCTCACCTATTTTTTTTTTCTAGAAGAGGTTGTTTTGATACTCAAATATCATCAAATTGATCATATTGACATCAAGATGCATGGACATAAGAAAAAAAATGGATTTTAAGTTTTGGAAATAGTGAGTCTTGTAATGCATTTTTTGACAGTCAATTTTCAAGATTTACAAGTTTTTATAAATATGCTCGCTCTACATTATTTTTGAAGCTAGAAAGTTTGTAATTAAAGATGAAAATATATTTTAAGGCTATCACAAAATTTTTTAGTATCGAAACCATATTTCCGGACAATATTTGAAGGTTGGCCCTAATTTGTTTGTTTAGAGCCTCAGCTCTATACAAACGGCACCCATATTTTATATATTTTTAATTTTAATTTCTAGACCTGGGTCGAGATGGACCCAGCCCGTCCTCGCCTTTGCCGAGTACGGCGGACCAACTTGTTTTCGTCCCCACTGCCGGTCTTGCGAGAGCTAGGGCAGGACATTCGGTAACCATAATAAATATTAATCGAGAGTCCATAACATTTACCGAACTGGCGCGAACACGCAATAGGCAGTATGCATCATCGAGCACGAAAGGCGCCTAAGTCACTTTGCAAGGGCGGTTTGTAACTCGTAAGCAAACCAGAGCACCTCACTTGAAGGGTTGATCTTGAAGCACAGTTTCAGAACGATACGCGCGAGAGGGAATGATCTCAAAGCAAAGATTTGGAGAATTATCCTAAAATTTAGGGTTTTGTAGCATTTAGGGTTTGGAGGAAGCTTTCTGCAAATTAGGGTTTGGAGGAACCTAGGAGAAGCCAGTTTCTTTTTACACTGTAACTGGTATGCACCATCGCCATCAATAGATCATGCACTTCCCCTCACTATTTCTTATTCAATAACGTTATTACGTTCAAATAGCTAATTTAAAGGATTCATGGTTATGTGCTAATCAGACTCTCTCCCTAGGTATTTTATTGCATATCTTTCAGGCTATTTTTTGTCTTCTTCTCAAGGATCCATAATTGATCCCCTTTCTCCTTATAAAAGAAACATCCATCTTTCTCTCTCTCTATCGATGCATTTAATGCAATTTTACTTTTCCCGGCTGAATTCGCTTCTAAGGAATTAATGATGTATTCATATATCTGAGAAGTTTTCTGTAATCATTATTATTTGGGTTAGTTTTAATTGCTTCTCTCTGGTTATCTTGCTCATCTTACACTGTTTTCACTGATTTATATTTTTTCTCGTATTTTTACCCCATAATTTTCTCATCTGTTGTTTGGTCCCTTTCAGAGCAGTGATGGCTGTTCGATTCAAATTCAGGAGCTCTCTCAGTTACGACTCTGTTCAAATTGATGGTCCCTGTATCACTGTTCGTGATCTTAGGGTCAATATCATTGAACAGAAGAACCTTAAACTTTGCCAGGATTTTGAACTGGAAATTTCTGATGCAATAACGGGCAAAGGTACATTGCTTCCTAGGTTTTACAATTACTTTATTGTACCAGTTCCTTGGGTTTCTATTTTTCTTTTTGTTTTATATATGTGATTTTGTTTATTCATGTAATGTCTCAGTTTGTAGGTAATTCCATGTTTAATAGTTTATTTCATTCTGGTTTCGATGCAGCTTATGAGGATGATGATACTCCGGTTCTGGAGGGTTCAAGTGTGATAATAAAGAGAGTGCCTACTGGAAAATCAAATCCTGTCGTTCTGTGAGTTTCTTTTTGCATTTTATTCCTTCGTTTTTTTTTTAATGTATTCTTAGTACTTGATTGGTTTATGAGAGATGATTTAAAACTTCAAATACTCGTAATTCAGTAGTTTTAGAGGAAATATGCTATAATCTAATGCACCGTGGAAGGCAATGGGGCCAACGCTCCTCACTGATATGATGGTTCATGATGGATATCTCCACAAAGGGGCATATTGCATTAGGGCCATAGTTGCAATCAAATGATGGTCGTTAATGGATACCAATAGCAAAAGAAGATAAATATCTCCAGATTATTGTGAATTTCTGGAACATGCACAATGTTTTTATTCTTGTCTTGTTATAATTCGTTCAGTGGCCTGATTGTGTTTTGAACGGGCATACACACATGCATACATGAGTTCCTATTGGATTACATTTATGTGATTATGAGAGAGGGAGGTAGGGCAAAGGGAAAATGCTTTTCTCAGATGATCTGATTATGCTTTGCTATCAGGTGTTTGAACTGTCATTTAAATGTGCAATTGTCCGAAACTTTTCATTTACTTTTGGATGAAATAACTTGAGTTCTTCTGTAGGAGTATTCTGTTTTATGTCTCATGCTTGCCCGTCTCTGAAAAGTCAGATGGTATTATATTCACTCTTTCAGTCTTATTTTATGTCCACTGATATAGGAATACCAATTTTGTCTGTAATTCTGGATGTTTGAATCTTGTTGCAACTTATTTACACAAAGTTATACTTGGTGCAGGCCCTGTATTGACACTGTCGAGAATCAAGTGATTGAACGTTTTAATTTTGATGCTAGTCCTGGATCTCCATCTTTTGCTGTAAGTGATTGTTCTTACTTGTTTGAGGTGTTATTTGACATATTATGTGATAACTGAATTGGTGCCACATTAATGATGAGCTCATGCTTATGTTTCTCATGCGCTGTGTTTTGTAGAACAAGAAGTTAGATTTAGTTCAATGAATATGTTGATTTCACTAGAGGGAACTATACTTTATTGTTTTTGTTTTGGAATCATGTTGATAGCCTTATGCTGATAACTGGTAGGTCTTACAAAATTTCTGAGCAAGTCATGTAAACCCTAAAACCTGTAATGAAAGAGGAAGATAAACCCGGAAGTAGACTGGTGGTTTCATTGGTGGATTTGTGCTAGCCTGACATGAAATAGCTTTGGTTGTAATCTGCTTATGCGAAAAAACTAATCTTAATCCTCAGGATACGCTTGATTTAAGAATTTCAGGGTAGTGGTGATACTACACGTTTTTTGTTTTAGGATTTTAAGATGGCATTCATCGGTTTCTTTGGGAATTAGGCTACAGCCGTAGGAGTTTTCCCGTTTTCAAGAATTTGGGAAGCCGTTTAGGCTTACAAAATGTTTAAAAAGAAAAAAAGTACACAAGACTATCTTTAAATGAGAAATTATTATAGTCCTGCTGGTGCAACATGTTAACGAGGAAAGAGAGCAACCATGGTCTATCTTATAATTCTTATTGTCAAGGTTCAATGGAAGCAACATTCTTCTGATCAATACAAGTGATAATCAAAATTCATGATTTGGCATCGAGCATTGACTTAGTCTGTCCCGCATTTATTCGTAAAGTTACCTGTAATGGGTTGAAGCTCGTATCAACTGGTGTTCCATCTTACAAATACCCACAAAGGGTTCATCAAGCATTGAACTTGTCAACTTGTCCATGTGTCACCTCCTCCATCTTCTTTCATTGTTATAATGGATATGCCTCAAGTTACTTTAATTCTCCAGCGTTTCCCTTGCCACATCACCTCCGCTTTCACTGATCTATCCCTTACAACACCCTTGCTTCATGATTGTCAACCATCTCTACCATGACCTCCCTGGCAATATTCATCCTCTAAAGCCGTTCTTGTCGAATCTTTTAGTAAAGCACATGTCCTTGTAAAGGGCCAATGCCCCTCATCCCAATGAGATGCAACAACGGAACCTCTGATATTGGTTTTTTCTATCTACAAACCCTCTGATGCTGTTACTCCTTTGTTTTGTCCTTTGCTTCTACACTTGAACTTCCAAAGATAATTTCACATGTGTCTACATCTTTTTATGTCCTCTATAGTCTGTACTGCCCATTTTCCCTCTTTCGGCTCCCCATTGTTTTCCTCTCTAACCATCCTCTTGCCACCTTCATGTGCTGCTCTGCTGTGCCTCTTGATCTTGGTATCTTTTAATTGTTTCTTTCAAGTGAGGCTATCTAGTGCTTGTACTTTGCTCTAGAGCCTCTTCACTTTATAGCTTTCTCCTGATGGCAATCTGTTACTGGATGCCACACCATCATTAGATCAAGAGAATCCTGGTTCTGCTTCCACAGATTCTAGTGATGTGCTTGCTCTCTTTCTTGTTAGAGGTAGTATGGTTGGGCTGCCAAATGAGGACCTGTATTCGGGCTAGAATCTGAGGCTCGCAAGCTGGACAATATAGGCCCATTATAGTTTCCCAACATGCAATTTTTTTGCTTTTGCATTGGGCTATTTCATCTTCTAGTGGCAAGATTAGCTGTTAACCTCTTAAAAAAAAAAACTGGTGGAAAGATCTGTTAGTCCACCATCATTTTTTTTACTGAAAGATAGCGATATGGTTCCATATGCTCCAGTTTCTTATTTTTCTTCTGATCTGGGAGCAATACCAAAGTGTTTCAAAAGGTTACCTTGATGTAGGTCTGCTTCTAGCCTGGACCAACCGTAATGGAGTCTCTATAGTTCCGCTTCAAGAGTCAAATATGGTACTTCATCAGCTGGGCCTGGGCTATCTTTGTTCCTGTCCTAGCTTGGCCCAAAATTATTTAATCACATATGGGGAAGCGGTGAGGTTAATGGAGGATTTCGAGACAAGCGGTGAGGATAATTGTAAGTACTGCATTGAACATGCAATAATGGTTTAGAAAGATCCTTTCTCTCTTCTTTTCTCTCTCTAGCATTTAATAAGAACTTAGGAGAAGTCACACTCTTTCTTCTTTTTCCCACTTCCATTTACCTTACCTCCTTTTTGTAATCTTTCTCTCTATAATAATAACACCTCTCCTTTTTCTACTCTCTCTCTCTCTCTCTATGTGTACAGTAATGACACCTTTTGTGTTAAACTGATGGGTGTGAAAACCGATCTTTTGAAGATTTGTGGCCATTGAAAATTATTTTTGATAGAAGAAACCAAATTTTGAAGAATGTGCCATTAAATGAGAAAAATGAAAATTATTTCTTAAGACCCTGGAAAATATATGAGAGATGGTATGACCAATTAATGAGGTCGTATAGTTTGATAAGGATAGAGAGATAAAGATAGGGCACTACATGTAGTAGAAAAAGCATTATCATCATCATCAGAGCCTTTTCCCAACAATTTGGGGTTGGCTACACGAATCATGGTTTGCCATTTTGCTTTATCAAGGGCCATACCCACGTTGAGGCCATGGTTGTCTTATCTTTTCTCACTATTTCCAACCATGTCACCATGTCATTTTGGGCCTATGGCTTACCCTTTGTCCTTTTTTAGCCTTCTACTTGACCAACTCGCACCTCCTAACAGGTATTGTACTGGGTCTGTGTTGCTCATACCCAGCCCATCTAAGTCTACATTCTCTCCTTTTATAACCTATTGGAGGCATACTAAGTTCTCCCAAATGTATTAATTTCAAATTCTATTACTTCTTGTCTTACCAATCATCCATCTCAACATCCTCATCTTAGCTACACTCATCCTATGGGGATGTTTCTTGACCGCCCAACATTCTACCCCATAAAGTAAAGCTGGTCTCACAGTTGTCTTCAAAATATAAGTGCCGTAGAAAAAGCAACTTCCCTCAAATCTTAAGTGTTTGCTTAAATTCAAAGGTTTTCATCTGTTATTTGTAGGAAACTAGAAGTGCCAATTTGGGCCGGGCTGGGTTGGGCTCAGGCCTCAATAGGGGCATTCGGGCCGAGCATGGGTTGAAAAAAATTTAGCCGAAGCCCCAAGCCAAGCCTTGCCTGCTGGCAACCCTGATGGCCTCTACAAAGTTGTCAAGAATGCTCTCTATAGTGTGGGAAGTCCTAGACCTAGAGCTGAGCCCATTAACTCGAACTCGTGCTTTTCTTCCTTCGAGGATATCTTTTCATTAGTCGTATTAGGATCTAAGGCATGCTGTCCCTTTCGCCAGGGTACTTGAAATGCTGAATTATTGAATATTCAAATGGCAGTGGTGAGGAAACATGATGGGAACATTAAACACTTAGGTCCCAATTGAATGATATCGTCCTTCATCTCCTATGAGGCGTGACCAGTTGCAATATCCTGTTTCTCAACTTCAATACTTTCTGACTGAATAAAACCATTTTTTTTGGGGTCATTACATTTTTGAAATGGAGATTGTGGATTGTAAGAAAGCCAATGTGGTGTGAGGTTGTGGTAAGGGATGACTGGAACATATATATGGATCTCAATACCTTACATGAGAACGAGTGAAGATAACACAAAAAGGCTCCAAAAGTACAATAAGATACATGTCTCTGGACTCTAGAGTAGATGTATGGTCATCTCTATGTCTTTGGCACTTCTTACTGGCACGTTTGACACTTGCAATTGCAGGATAATGTCTGTTATAGAATTTCCTTTTTTTTTTTTACCATCTAAAACTGTCCCAATAACGTGTCTATATCTCTCTGTATGTGTATTGTTAATAACTTAATTATGTGTCTTAAACTCTTAATGTGTTGGCATGGCAAAAGATTTTAGAACTTATGAGACACTCTTCCAATATGCTAAGTAACATGCTTACATGGGGTAGCACATCAAATGAATGCAAACGCCATACCAAAAGAAATGGAGAATCTTTGCTACATGTTATGTCCTTGTTAAGTTTTTCTTTGTGTAAGATATACATGGGCTAAACACTATAAACATTTTTTCTTCGATAGTGTCAATGGCAATTAGATAAATGAGTACATCGAGTTCAAAGCTATTGGTCTTTTTTGGTATGACTATTTGCTTTATTGTTTGACAAATGTTTATAAATTCCAGAACATGGATGCGGATAACTTTGACGACTTTGGTGTGGATTTGTATTCTGCTCCAGTACCATCCCTGTTGGAAACTGACTCAGATGAAGTTGAGCGGAACAGTACAACCAAGAGGAATGCAGCCAATGAAGTTCAAAGGTGGCTATTTTCAGTGAAACTGGGTTCTTTGTCATTTGGAAGTTTGTTTTGACTTCTAGCTTCTTACTGTTTTATCTTCTAGAATCAATTGAAAGCACTCTACAAACATTTTTTGTCATTCATCAAACTAGCTAATTCATTTTTTATTGTAGTTTGCTTTTCCTGCATTTCACTTTATTTATTTCCTAGAATGAATTTCCCACATCACGTTATTAGCATCGTTGGTTTTAGTCATGCACTATTTTAGAAAAAGTAATAATAACCAATGTTTTGAAAGGTACTAGGGTGGTGCCTGGGCATCCACAGGGGGGCTAGCCACCTACCTAAGTGTGCTACGTGATGCAGCTGCCTAGGTTGGTGCCTCAGTTTTGAGGTGCCTCAAAGACTCATATATGCATATGTATGAGTCCCAAGCATACATAACTGCATACATGCATACATATATGCATATATTATACCAGCGTGCACACATAAAGTATAATAAAAAATCAAATTATATATTTCATATTGAGTATATTTATAATCAAGGAAATGTATACAATGGGATAATTTTTTTTTTTGTTTGAACAATATACAATGAGATAATTTACTTTTGATACAAGAAGGTCACAATCATATTGACCCTTAGATTTCAAATCTGTTGGTTGCGGATGTGTCATTGTTTGAGTACACAGTCCAAAATAAAATTTCTCGAATGTTGTGACACGCTTTCATCTATTAGATTTCACATCCAATGGCTAAAAGTGATTGTGACCTCTATGTACAAAAAATAGATGGCCTCATTGTATACAATCCCTATAATCAATTAAACAGAGAAAATTTGAAAAGGCAATTTCCAAAGTCTTAAAATTAACTAGGTTAATGTTGAATTGCATTCCATATGGGTAATGTAAGATGTAAGAGCCACAATGAGTCAAATATAATAGGATTTTTAATTCTAGTGCCATATTGCTGAATTTCATGGGTCCACCAAAATGTTCAAATGCTGAATCACAAGTACACCAGATAGAGAAAATGGCACAACAGAACTGTAAACAAAATGAAGTCTAGTGCATCATGTTAAGCCTTCCTTCATCTTCTTCATCGGCTTCGACCCCAGCACTTCCATCAAATTGCAAGCCATTGTCAGCAGAGTCTCCACCACCGTCAATATAATGGCCCTCCTCCCCATTCTCTTCAGATTTGATTTCCTCCTCACTGCCATCATCTATGTCGTTCACAACAATTGCACCTAAGTTTGTTTTGATCATGTTCATCAGCGCAATACCCATTTTACGGACCCAGATCCCCCCACTTTTACAAGAACCCGAAGAAGACCTAGTGAAAGATCTCAAATACGGAAACAAGCAACTAAGGATGACTGACTCTTGTTGTCCGATCTCCGATCCTTTGTGTTCTGGATGAATGTTCCTCTTGTAACCCCTCTTGATAGTTCACAAGGAATCAAATCTAAAAAAATTGGAATGCAAATGATTTCTCAAACTTTTATTTTTTTGAATATTAAAATTTTTCAAAAAATCACTTTTTGCATTTTCTCTCGCATGACCAATGCTTAGGGAGCTTTTTTTTCTTTTTGGCAGGGGAGGGGGGGTGGTTGGTAGAGTAACCTCCTATTTTTCTCTTTCTTTCCCTCAAACATCTCCCACCCCCTCTTCTTTTCTCCTCTCCTCCTTTTCTTTTTAAATGGTAGGGTACGAGCATTTTGCCCATGGCCTGGGGGCATTTTCTGCCCTCGAGCCATGGGCTGCCTTGGGGTCCAGCCTAGGTGCCCAATTTTAGTTGCCTTTTAAAATCATTATAATAACAGCTTGCTATGATGCTTCACAGTTTTTCTACATTGCTGGGTTATAAAATTTAATTTATCTTCATGCAACTTGCTGTATCTATCTTTTAGAATCACTTGAAGGCATTATGTAGAAACTTTAGTTTTGTAAAACCTGAGTAATGCTTGTAGATATGTCTGGCCTCCTATTCCCTGCTTATTCAGTTCCCATATCACTTTATATAACGTTGTACTACATGATTAATGACTGTGCATTTTACCTTCAGATTATCGGGATCTGTTTCAAAACATGAGAACATTGAATCAAATGATCCTGCTGAAACTGTTTCAAAAGGTAATTATTTATATGCTTTAGTCTAGTGACTCTAGTCCTTGAAAGATTTTTCTGTTTTAGCTTATTACTTAAAGGGGTTGTAAATTAAGTTGCCTTGGACTTTGACCATAGTAGAATGGATACCGGTATAAGTGCAATGGGGAATTATTTTTTTTAGTGAGGGCATTTCTGCCAACTCTCTCTTGTGCAAGGGATGCAGCCACTTCATTGGCCTCCCTAAGGAACTGTGGGAAAAAAATAGCTCCATGGGTCTTTGAGACCATCATGACTATTGGTTATGTCTTTGATACCAGGGCTCCTTGAAAGGCACGGTGAACCAGCTTGTGGGTTTGGAGGGGAGGCACCGGCTAGCAGTCAGAAAGCTCATTCGAAAGAACCCTTGAAAACTGACAAGTTGTTTTTTTTTTCCTGTCACCATTGTTTCCTCTTGTTCTCTGAAAATGCACATGCTTATTGTGTTCAAAATCGGTATTATATCAGGGTGGAAGTCTTGAAGGATGCAGGGTCTAGTTTGCCTACAATGCCAAATGCAGAGTTGCCATCAGAACTTAGATGCACACTTTGCAATGCAATTTTTAAAGGCGCTGTGATGATACCGTGTTGTCAACATAGCTTTTGTGACAAATGTAAGCTGCTTCATGCAAGTCTGGAAACTTGGTTTTTCCAACAATATATTATATTTTGTATATAATTCTTCTATTGTGGTATTTGCTTATAGGTATTCGTTCTGTACTCATTGAGAAGGCTAAGTGTCCCCAGTGTTCTGCTACCAAATGCAAGGTTGATGATTTGCTTCCAAATCTTTCTCTCAGACAAGCAATTGAACATTTTCTTGAGTCTCAAGGACTGATCAGTGGTTCTGACACTGCTCTTCCTAAATATGCACCAGGTTATAATATATATCAATTTATTCTTTTAATAGTAGATTAGCAAACTTAGGTATGTCACTGATTAGTTGATTTACTTGCATTTCTTTTTTAGATGGAGAATCTGGAATTCAAGCTAAGGAGGTGTCACATGTTGTCTCCACACTTCGAAGGGAGCAACATGTACCTCATTCTTCTTCGGCAACAGGGAAAGGATCCAATCAAATTACTACAGAGTTTGCAAGCGATATCAAAGTTAGAAACACTGGAGTTGGTGCTGGTTTCGCTCCCCATGTGCATGTGGATGTTGGCCATTCCGCCCCATCTTCTTCGCAAATGGTGACAAAACTGGTGACAAAACTGAAGGAAAATGAAGATAGAAATGGTGCTGCTTGTCCTCCACATGTCAAAAGTACATCAGAAGGCCGGAATTCTGCTGTTGATTATGAAGATTCTAGTAAGCCCTCCAAGTTGCCTCAATCACCCTCACATAAAGAAGAAGGTATAGCTTGTATTATGCTAATAACTTGGGTTGTCTTCATATATTTGTAAATCTGAAATCTCCTTTTTTGCCGCCTTACACATGCACGATGTTATATGTAGTCGTAAGTCAGAACTTACGGCTAGCAAAGTTAGTCAAGGAATAGTTATACTTAGCTTTTTCATAAATAAAGTTCTTTTGTAGAAAAATGTGTCAAACTTGACACACACATTGAACTAGATCACGAAAAGTTTAAATTCAGTTTATGTCCCTTTTTTGGCACACCCCGTGGATTCTGGTTTGTAAGATGGGCTCGAACTCAGCCTTATGGCTGCAACAACTAGCAACTTCCAGTTCAGTTATGGTTTGAGCCCACTTTTGAGTTTTGGAATTATTTTGTGTCTCTTTTCTGTTTGTGTCCCTTTTTTGGCATATTGGGCCTTGCGGGTTATAAGTGAATGCATTAACCATGTATGCATGCACAGATTCAGACGCACACTAGAGATTAAAACCCTTGAGGAAGTTTGTAACTTTGAACTTTGATTTGCTAAGTCAGCTTCTCCTTTCTCTTTTACCTCATCCTCATGTTGCCAAATATCTTATTTCATCTATCCCCATTTATCTTTTTGTTGTGATTTCCCTGTGCTTATATTATAAGTCCTAATTTTGGGTTTAAACTGGGGTGTAGCCTCCTCTACGGGCAAGAGAAAGAAGAAAGGATGGCTGGGTGCTATAGGTATGATCCAGCATATTTGTTTTCAGATGGAACATAATCTTAATTGCTCTTGAACTTGTTAACCATAGTCAGCATGAAGTTTCTGGAGTTTCAAGATGCTTCTCATACCTGCATCATGTTTGAAATTCATTTTCTGTGACGGTGCTTATTTTTGCATCAGATGGTGGTAAAAGTTTCTTGGCTTCAACTAAAAGCAAAAAGGTATGTTCTGAACATACATCCTCTGGCTTAATACATATGAGAAGAAGCTCTCCGAACTTCTATGCATGACATGAATCCAATCTTGCAAAATAGGGAGACCGTAACTGTTACATGTGCGGTTCACCAGATCATCTGGTAAGAGACTGCCCAGCTGCTTCTGCCCCATATCCTATGCTTCAAACTGGTAAGAAGGAAGTTCTACTGGTGTACCTGTCCTTTATGCTTATCAGTTTTGTTTCTTTTCAATAAAGGTGCTTGTATAGACAATCATCCACAGGGATGATCTTAACGTTTTGGGGATGCATCATTCAACCAATTTGAAAGCATGTCACACACTTGCCATGTGTGTATGGATGTATTTATGTGGCATATCTGTATGCAAATATCAAAACTTCAAACTGGCCAGGGAGTTGACTACACATACACATTTAGACATGCATTTGTATATGGATATGCATATATGGGAAATAAAAAGAACTTGTGGGGGTACACTCATTGGCTCTCAAGTCTGTGGTTTAAATGTCGACCTCATCATTCGACCTTTTTGGGGCATGTCTCTAATTCTGTTTTCTTTAGTTCTTCTCTCTTCTTTTATATTTTTCCTGAACTGCTCTCCTTTGTTTTGCTTATTATGAACTCAATGTCTGAAGGAGAATAGGATTTTGTTGATTTGACATTTATTCAGATACTTATTTGCAACTTTTGTTCTGTACATGTACTCAGACAATCTTTATTAACTCAATTTTTTTTATATATTCAGGAGATGCTATGTTTCCAAATGGTTTTAGTGCCTATGGACATTCAACTTACTGGCCTGGTGCTGCAATACCTCATGTTAGGCCCTTCACAAGCCTCTATGGTGCACCTGGTGCAATGCCTTTTGATCCCAGCATGGTTCCAGTTTCACCATATGCTATTCCTCCTTACATGCCTTCAATTTATACAGGCATGCCAGTTCCTTGGTGAGCCTTTTTCCCTTGTCTCTATTTAATTTGGTCAGCTTTCCAGAAATTCACAATCGTTTTTTGAGTCATCAATTACTATAGATGTGTCTCTCTGGTTTCTGACTCCAAAGCAATGCCAGTGGATTCATGAGGATGGGCAGTTTGATGCCACCTATGGTGGCTGGAGCTGATCGGCCCCTTAGTCGTGTTGAATTTATGGAGCTTCAGGGAAGCGAACGAAGGCGTAAACTTTGGAATGAGCAACCGCAGAGGTATTCTCTAATTTGAGGTTTACAATATATTTTCTCAGCTTCTGTTAAGCTGGGGTTCACATACACGTGTTTTGATAAGTTCTTTTTTTTGCTGGTAGAGTTTTTTGAAAATCCAAATTTATTTTGTAAATCTAAATTGAACTACACAAGATCCCTCCAAATTCATATTTTAAATGATTCATTCTATTATGTTTGACAATTTTTCATAATGACAATTTAACGTACTGCGATTATAATGGCTGAGAATGCGTATATGGATCATTAAGCCTTCAAATTTGTTGGTAAATGGATGAAATCTGTTTCAATATATTCACTCTTCAGATATTAGGAGACAAGTGCCGTAAAGTATGTTGTTTTGCAAGTCAGTTTCTGTGAATGTGTTTTGACTCACATTTTTTGTTGAGTTTGGTACTTCCCCTTTCTCAAAATCTAAGTTTGGGAATTTGCCCGCAATTGTACATTGTGATTTTCAGAAGCTGGCGATACTAGCCTGAAAGATAATATACCTAATGTGGTTATCAATAGGGGTATTGGAATCCTTTTTCTTGCTCATTGCATAATGACTAAATGATTTATTCATGATGTCTGTCTTTATTACTGTAACAAGCACTAGGCTCCATGGAGATTTGAAATTAGTTTCCTCTTCCATCTATTCAGGAATTTTAATTATGGATGCTTGGACATCAGTTTACCTAAGTGAAGCATCTCTATACTTTGTAATCGGTTTTCTTAGCTGGAATCATTTAACTGAAAAAGCTCAAGACTTCTACTAAGAGTCATAATTTTTGCATAGTGGAATAGTGGTAATTTATATATATTTTTTTATTTTCCATCACTACAGTAGAGAATTACATGCACAAGATGATGCTGTTGAATCGTCTGAAAGGCGCTATTCTGATGCCCCAAGGAAATCTCAGGACCGAAAGCCTCATGATGTGGATAGGGACTCAGTGAGGAACTACTCCGAAGAAAGTGACATCCAAAGGCCAATAAGTAAAAACCATCGAGAGAAATATTTTTCATCAGATGATGATGGCATCTTCTCACCATACAAAAGGCCAGAAAAATCCCGTGGCAATGGGAAAGAGCACCGGTCATATCGTGGCAGCCATTCAGAGAAATCAAACTCTGAAAAATCTCTCTCTAGGCGCAGTAGAGAGAAACATAAGCACCACAAGAAGGGTTCTTCCAAGAAGCATAGAGAGAAAGAGGATTACTTAAAGAGCAGCAATCACCGAAGGGATACATCAGATGATAGGAGAAGGGATGTGTCAGATTCTGAGAGGCATTACCGCAAAAGTGGGGGGCATTCTTCAAAGGTAGAGGCTGAACCCAGCTTTTCGGGTGACCGGAAAAGGCGTTGGAGAGTGGAATATGAAGTTCTGAACGAGGAAGTAGCATTTCAAAGTTCAAGGCACTCCAAGCACAAGGTAAAAGACGAAGAGAACCCCTCTGAATTTGACAGGTGGGAGATGGTTGATGGGTCAGATGATGAGAGACAGGGCTATTATTACCATAAGAGGAAGCGGGGCCACTAAGACAAGTTAATAATTCTTAATTGGTTGGTTCTCATTATCATTTCTAGAGGGTTGCAGCTGGGCAAAGTGGGTGGGGGCCACAGGACACTGAATATTTTGCTGCTACGAAGATTATCACTGAGGTAATTGTACAGGATTGAACTGATGCTACTGAGCGATTCTTTCTTGCTGGTATTGTTTTCTCTTATTATAGTGATAATTTGTGGTAATTTGTAAAGGAATCTGATTAGAGTGTATAGATAGTTTGTAGAGAACTTGAGTAGCCTAGTGATAATTTCTAGTGGAATTGGTTTAGAATAAGGGTAATCTATTTGTGTTATCATAATGGTAACTGCTAGAGAAATTGATGAGAATTTGCCTTCTTTGTTTGTTATTAATTGTCCCAAGAAGTTGAAAGATTGGTGACTCTAAATATTGATGGCTGTAAGATTTGGTGGCAGTTTGAAGAAGGCTAGCAAGAGACCTGGGAATGAGATTGGTCCCATATATGTTGGGGCTTGGCGCTAATGTGATTTAGTTGTGGTTTTTCTGATACAGAGTCATATACAGGTGAGAAGGTCGTCCATGCAGTTTGATATCCACAGTTATTTTGGTTACTCTATGCTGGTTCTAATCAACAACAACGTGATTTAATTAAGAAGTGAAGGAGTCAAAAATCAAAGCAAAAATTAGGGTTTTTGATTTTCCTTTCTCTGGCCAACTTCAATCATTAGCAGAGCATTTATTAAAGCTGGCAAAGGTATGGTTTGTACTTTTATCTCATACTTGTTTCTATATCCACAGTATGTATAGCTACCTATACACACACGGCCACATTGCAAAATCCTACGAGACTTTTTGGAAACCTTATTTCCTCATTTTCTAAAGAAATTGTCTGCATATGGCTCTATGCTTCAGCCAGCTAGTTTTTTTTTCTTCTTTTTCTTTTTTATTTGTTAGGAAAAGATAGAAACATCCTACTTTTTGTATATACTCAGTACAAACACACACCTCCCATATTTTTTTTGTACCATGTGGTATTAATCTGATCATGAATTGCTGCTCAGTTTCCATACTACTGAATACATTTTAACCTGAAATGTGCCTGCCCTTTATTGCAAATCCCTTCCTGGATAGGGGTGTTTTTGTCATTTGCCCAGGTAAATGATGGAAATAGAGCATTGGATGTTTTTGTCATTTGCCCAGGTAAATGATGGAAATAGAGCATTGGACAATGACAGAAGTAGAGCATCCAGGGTTGACATATCATTCATAAGATAGCACGAGGTGCATAAATAGATGTTACCTGTTTCTCAGTTGAATGTCTGCCCTAGAAGCTTTATTTCTGTAATTTGCCCTAATAGTGGTTCCATTTTTGTTATTGCCCTTGGTAAATATTGTGAAGTAGCCCCGTGCCAGATGTAGATTTCAATACGAGGTCGGAGCTATTTGTGTCCGAAGGTTATTTTCCTTTGGGAGAACTTACTTCACCCTTTGAGAGGGTCTGCTGCTTTCTCCTGTCAACTTAGTTCACCCTCCATAGAGAATACTTACCTCTCTCTCTCATGCACGCGTCCACATGGGCAAGCATGTGTATAGGTGCACAGCAACCCACAAATTATTTATTGGTTTTTGGAAACATGTTTGTGCGATAACTTATTTCTGAGTATTTGTTATGTTCAATTCTTTTAACTTAGCATTGGTAACTTATTTTCTCATTATTTGTTATGTTCAGTTCTTTTAACTTGGCATTGGTAACTTATTTTCTGAGTACGTGTTCATATTCAATTCTGAAAGTTAGCATTCACATGCTCATGGTCATATCACACTTTTTTATATGAAGTTTTCATTGATTTTAAAATGTTTCTTGGTTACATATCCATTTTAACTTTGGACCTGGTGAGAATGGAACCCATGATGTTATGTTGTGGCACCCACCACCCTGACCTACCACTCTGGGAGATTTTTCCTCCCCCTCTCCAAGAGTTGGGGCTTATATGCTTTAACTAGTTTTTCTTTCTAGTAACTGCTCATAACCTATTGTCAGATTGAAAAGTATTACCATAGTGTAATGGACTATGAGATATGGTACTCCTAGGCTGCATCCACCATCCCTTGCCACTGATTGATGGTTGGAGATAAACTGGAGTGTGGCCCACGTGGGAATTTGCATAGATACTGTTAATTCCCAGCCATTTATCATCGTGAATGGTGGTGTAGGCATGGATCACCATGTGCCACAATCTACCAGATTATGGTATACGTAGTCAGATTCGTCAAGTGTCAATTTTGGTCACATAAGCATCTGTTGGGGCCTTTGACCAGTAAAATAAATGCACTCAATTAACCCCCCCACCCCCCACCCAAAAAATAAAATAAAGTTCTGCTCGATACTAGCACTTCGGATGTAAAGTATTGTATATTTCTGCTTGGCACGAGCAGTTTGGATTTAAAATTTTGCTTGACACTAGCACTTGGGAATTTTTAGTCAACCTTAATATCTTTTGGATAATATTAGATGTGAAATGGTGCATATAGGCATTGCGAACTTCGCATGTGCTTATTATTACTAATGAACGAGGGTAAGCTGGTATAAAATTTCATCTCTAACAATCTGTAAGTTGGGTCGACCTGGACCCGTACGACACAGATACAGATGGGGCAGGCCCTCCAGCTTCACTATATACATTTATATACAATTGTGTCTGGTTAGGGTTCGGTCAAGCTAGAGTCGGACCTGACTTGGATGGGTCCAAGCTGATCAGACCCAGACCCAGTCGAGTAAAGGTCTGTTGGACCTAGTGGATTTCCTAGTTGGCCTGGTCCAGGTGACCTGACTTGCACCCTGAATTACGGAATGGCATTTTTGGTACAAAATTATGTCCCTGGGGTATGAGATGATGTTTTCGCAAGACTGCAAATATTTGTGAGGTGGTTACATTTGGTGAGGAGTCAGTTGTCATTTACTGATTGGAGAACTCTTTTTGGAAATAAAGGGGCAGGTATACAAGTCATTGGCCATGGGAGAGAGAGAGAGAGAGAGAGAGGCCTGACAGTTCGCAATGATTGGAGGGAGAGAGAGGTTGCCTGACTGGTTTGTGATGAATGAGAGAGAGAGAGAGGTGGCCCTGACTAGTTTGTGATGATTGAGAGAGAGAGAGAGAGAGAGGTGGCCTGACTGGTTTGTGATGATTCTCGAGGCGGAGTGGAAGTCATGCCAACATTGGACTGGTTTGGGATGATGTTTAGAGTCAGAGCGGGAGAGAGGGTGATGGGCATGGTTGAGCGTCTTGCATTTTTTTTGCCCTTGCCCTGTGAGATTGAACTTCTTGCATTTGGTGAGGGGCATTTTTAGGCATTTTTTGGATTGGTGGAGCAGTTTTAGAATTAGAGAAGTTATGAAAGGTGGCGGGGCCTTAAGTCCTACGATTCATGTGACAGAGAGTTTGGTCTTACATTTTGAGATGAAATGAAAGGGGGGGACTCCCCTACTTTGGGATTATTTTAGAGAGAGAGAGATTAGCCTGACTGTTTTCAGATAAAAGGAAAGGGGGAGCTCCCTGCTTTGGAATTATTTCTGAGAGAGATTGATTTTGATCTGAGTGTTTCCGGATGAAAGAAAGGGGGAGCTCCCAGCTTTTGGATGCTTGTTGAGAGAGAGAGAGAGAGTGAGAGAGAGAGAGAGAGAGGAGAGAGAGAGAGAGAGA